TATTTTGAATGTTTTCTAAATTTTCATATAAATATTTATTTAAATTACAACAGAATACAAAGTGTACAGTACTCACTTTGTGTTTATTTATTATTATAAGTATTTGCAATGTAAAAAAATAAAAGAAATTGCCCTTTACAAGTACTGTAGAGCAATCTCTTTATCATGAAAGTTGAATTTACAAATGTAGAGTTATGTACACAAATTCCTGTATTCAAAAATTTAAAAAAGTAAAACTTTAATCCTGCATTCAAAAATTTAAAAAAGTAAAACTTTAGATCCTACAAGTCCAATCAATCTTGTTCTTACTCAGCCAATTGCCCAGACAAACAAGTTTGTTTACATTTACAGGAGATAATGCTGCCCATTTCTTGTTCACATTGTAACCTGAAAGTAAGAACAGGTGTTCGCATAGCATTGTTGTAAGCCGGCATCACAAAATATTTATGTGCCTGATGTGCTAAGATTCCTATATCCCTTCATGCTTCAATCACCATTCCAGAGGATGTGCATTCATGTCAGTGTTGTTTTTTGCTAGATAGTGGTCCAAAGTAGAGCAGAACGATACATGTTCATTTTTATCAGTTGAGTCAGATGCCACCAGCAGAATGTTGATTTTCTTTTCTGGTGGTTCAGATTCTGTACTTTCCTCATTGGAGTGTTGCTCTTTTAAGACTTCTGAAAGCATTTTTCACACCGCATCCATGAAATGTTTTGGAAGGCGTGTCAGATTCTTAAACCTTGGGTTGAGTGTTGTAGCTATCTTTCGAAATCTTAGCTTTGTACCTTCTTTGTGTTTTGTCAGATCTGTAGTGAAAGCATTCTTAAACATGTGCTGGGTTATGATCCAAGATTGCTATAATCTACTATATATTTCAGAGAGTTTGTGCATCTATCTGTCTATCGGTATCTTCTGTCTGAGAGTCTGTTCAAGAACTCCTAAACATAAGAACTAGGAGCACCAAATTTGGTATGCAGATTCTGCTCATCATCACTTTGGGTGTGTCTAGACTACATCCCAGAGGGATGTAAATTAGGCACTTTGAAAGTGCAAATGAAGCTGGGATTTAAATATCCCACGCTTCATTTGCATAATCACGTAATGGCGTTCTTTCGAAAAAGTGCTATTTCAAAATTGAAAGAGCAGTCAAGACGCGGTTCTTTCGAAAATAGAAGCAAAGAGCAGTCAAGACGCAGTTCTTTCGAAAATAGAAGCCTTTTTCGAAAGATCCTGTAAACCTCAGAGGGGTAACCGAGTTAGTCTGTAACTGGAAAAACTTAAAAAACAACAAATAGTCTAGCAGCACCTTAGAGACTAACAAAACATGTAGATGGTAACATGAGCTTTCGTGGGCAAAGTGGTGATCAACCAGTAGATTGGGATCTACTGGTTGATCTTGGAGCCTCTGCAGTGGTGACCAACCAGTAGATTGGGATCTACTGGTAGCTCTTGGAGCCTCTGACAGGTGATCCCGACAGGTTTGGCCAAGGGACTACCAAGCACAGCATTTCAGCTGCCTGTCCCCTCACTGCGGCACACCTCCTGCCCTTTGCCTTAGAGCTGCCTCCTCCTTGTAACCCTTTTCCCCGCCTCCCGCAGCCTCCTGCTTGCTGTGCAGGGGAGGAAGAGAATGGGGTGCTTATGTCAGGGTGCCCCCACCCAGTATTCTGTTTCCACAGGAGAGCACAACAGGGCTTGGAATGGAGAGAATTTGCTGGCTGCTCCCTCCCGCAGCCTCCTACTTGCTGTGCAGGGGAGGAAGAGAATGGGGTGCTTATGTCAGGGTGCCCCCCACCCTGTATTCTGTTTCCACAGGAGAGCACAACAGGGCTTGGAATGGAGAGAATTTGCTGGCTGCTTTTGGAGTGGTGCAGGGCCAGGGCAGGGATGATCCTGCCTTAGCTCCACTTCACCACCACCCTGGAGCCACCTGAGGTAAGCAGTGACCAGCTGGAGCCAGCTCCAAACCCCTGCCTCAGTCATGAACCCCGTCTGGTACCCCAAGCTGCTGCTCCAGCCCCCTGGACCCAAACTCCCTTACAGAGCCTGTACCCTGAACCCCCTCCTGCTCCTCAACTCTTTGCCCCAGGCTCAGCTCAGAGCCCCTCTCACATTCCAAATCCCTTAGCCCAAGACCAGATCCTGTGCCCCAAACCTCTGCTCCTGCTTGGTGAAGGGGAGGGAGAATGGGAAAGGGGGAGAGGGCAGAGTGAACATAGGCAGGGCCTCACAGAAGGGCCATACAAAGGAGGCAGGGCAGGATATTTATGTTTGAGGTAGATCATGGATTGTACTTAAATTCAAAAAGTGATCTTGTGCTTAAGAAGGTTGGAGACACCTGTGCTAGACTACTTGTTGTTTTTTAAGTTCTCCACACAATACGTGGTGCAGCACACGTGCCTCCACGGGGAGGGTCAGGGGGCAGCAGTGGCTCCTCACTGCACTTCAGGCTCCCCGGGGCTCCGACTTTCCACTCCACCACCTGCTGCCAGGCTCTGGCTCCCATGGCTCAGCCACCTCCTGCCTGGCTCTTGGGTCCCACCAGAAGGCAGCGGCACCTCGGAAGGGGGTGGCTGCAGCAAGAGACAGGCAGTCCCCGACTTACGCGGATCCGACA